AATTGTGTCTGACCACAATCACCTCACCTACTTGAACCAAAGTGTCCCTCATGGTACTAAACTGTCTCATTAGGCCTTAGCATTACAACATGACTGTGATCGCAAAGGTAGTTCACATGGGAATACTGATGCCTTATCAAGGTTAAGAAGTTAACTTGTAATCAAAATTAAATTATAAAGAAAACTTATTTTCACTACACAAATTTAAAATACTTCCAACAGTTTTAATTTAATATTGTAGTATTAACTTCTGATAGTGTGTATATGTCATATACTATATGTAGTATTTATAAGTTAACACAGCCACCAGAGGGCCTCACCTATGCGCCAGCAGCAAGAGCGAGGTGAAAGAGGAGTATGGCATATAGACAGACAGTTGTCTATCCCACGCGAAGGTAACTTGACTGCATATACGACAGTTAGTGCAAGTAGGCGCTGAGCTGCTACTTAAATTCTAAAAGTGATAAAGAACGGTGTTTATATCTAACAAGTGCTAGAAGGCGCAAGAGAACTTGTATTTAATTCAATCTGTACCTTTTCTGTTATTTTCATTAAATGTCCTGTGGTGTGGAAAACGTTGTATATATATGTGATATTTTGGCAGTCGTGATGAAGCTTAGCATCAAAGTGCAGGCATTACTTTTGCAGAGTGGTAAGGCAAAATCCAAATCACGAGACAAGATAATTTAGCTTTTAAATGCACATCTTTATTCCATAGCTTTAATTCAATTTTCACCGTCGATCATGCTTTACTTCATATGAAATTCTCCAAATTACACATTCAATAGCGATTTAAACTAAGTACGATTGAATTTAAACTTTCTGCGTCATGACTATTCTAATAAAAGGAAAAATAGATTAAGCAGCAGCGAAATGTATAGCACAGGAGGAGAGGCGAGCTTCTGTCCGAAAAATGGCATGCATTCATTATTTATAGTAGCAGTTACGTAATAGGCTAGCTTATTCTAGAAGGTACTGGTTTAGGGAAAAGGTCCTAAATTGCCGAAAATTAATTAAAGGCTGCTGGTTCGCATAGAGCAAAGCCATCGTATTTTTTTTATATTTTACATATATATATAATTTCATATTTGTTTTTTTATATTAGTATGTGTTCATTAAATAATTTTATTTTGGGCAGCTGCACATTTTGGAAGTCTCACTTATATTTCATTACTTGAACAGAAACTGTGTAGCTGTTGTTCCCCCGCCCCTGGTTACTGCATTTTTCAGACTCTCTCTCTGAACTCTAAGCAGCATTGTCTCTAACCCTTTGTAGTGACTACACATTAAAGTTGGTATTTCAACAAGAAAAGTTGTATGCAGTCTATCTAGGCCTAAAGGAGTATACAGATAAAATTTTGTAAAAATTGCACTTACTGTTTCAATTCTGTGGGTGTTTTATGAGGTGGAACACTGCGCCAACAGAGCTCTTAAAAGTGCGACTAAGCGAGCATTGTAGTGAAGCAAGGAAATTAGTAGAAGCTTATGTATAGTAATGAAAAAACAATGTATTATGGCTGTATACATGGTTTTCTGGATATACACAATATTCTTGGATATATATGGATAAATGAGATAAATATATGTATATACACAAGTCCTATATACAAAAATATTTACAAATTTTTCGATTTCATAGCTTCGTGAAATTTTCAAAGCATGTTACATCTTTTTGATAGAAGCACAAACCAACTTTGCAAGTTTTGAACAAAAAACTTGTTTTGTGCGGCTTCTGTTCTGTGCAACAATATGTTAAGAATTCCAAGTAAAAAGAAAGAAAAAAGAGGAAAAAGAAACTCTTTCCTCTTCGGAAAGAGTTTTCCTGCCATTTATGGAAAATTAATAATAGAAAATTAACTGCAATTAATATTAACAATAAAGAAAAATAAGCTATAAGATATACATACACAAAAAGTACTTACACAATTATTGTAAATAAACGGGAATGAGACTAAAAAGCGATAGCAAAATAATTCGCGCAGCTCCCCTAAGTAAAGATGACTCAAGCAACTGATAAAATTCCCATCTGAAAACTAATAACAAAAATTTCAAGTTGCCCATATTAGGGCTTTCATAGCACAAATCACACCTCCCCCCTCAAGACTGCTTTGTTTGAATTCATTCCCCCAAAACAATGTAAATAGAAAACATATACAACATCTGTCTTAGAAACATATGTTTTCTCCCAAGACAGATGTTCTGATGCGTAATAGCATGAGATCGCTAAAGGCGCAGTGTTCCCGCTAATGGAACACCCCGTTTTATTTAATGATTCTTCACATGCTTTTCGTATGAAAAATGTAAAAAAAAATATAACAAATAATATAGAGTAGAGCCAACAAAATTATACGGATTTTTTTTTTTTTCAAACAAATTTTTTTTGCACCACAAAAAATATAGAAAATAAGTGGATTTTAATAGCACATCATAAATGAAAATTCTGGGTCTCCTTGCAATATGCTGCCACCTACTATTTAAAAAGAGAAGTTTGAAGTATATTATAAAGGCATTTTTATCCATTTACGGTTGAATTTAATGGTTTCAGAAGCAATTCAATTTGGGTGTTCCATGTAGTGGAACACTGAACAACAAAGGGCTAATGTGACTAATGTGCTTCTCATGAAGGGACTTGTAAAGATTGTTAATTATAAATAAAGGAAAAGAGTTATGCTTTTCCTGAATGGCAACAAAGAATAAAAAGACATTCTAAGATCTGACTTAAAGTTATGTAAAGATCATGAATTATAAATAAAGAAAACAGAGTTATGCTTTGCCAGAATGGCAACATCAGATGTTCTAAATATCTGATATAAAAAATTTGTACTAGAAGTTTTAATTAAGATGGAGGAGTTATTGCTTTCAAAAGATTAAATAAAATTTATTAATATTATCAAAGATGCATTTTTATTGCCTAGAACCGAATTTTAACTGAAATGAAGTGCAGAAAGATGAAATTTCATCTCAGTATGAAATGCTGAATAGAAACCAGAAAGTTTACTAACACATTAAGAGCAAAACACTAAAATAGCATGTTAATGATAGTAGCGTAAATGCTTGAAACACAAGAGTAAAAGTAAATTTTAAATAAAAGGTATTCTAAGAAAACAAAGGAAGTCAAATACTCTTTCTCTAAAGTCAGGGTACGAGTTCAAAAAATGAGGGGTCTCCTGATATTTGAAAATTAACACAGAATCCTATAATAACTTCTGCTTTTCTGTTTTAGTAATATGACATGTGTGTTTATATCAGAGAAGACTATGCTGGGCATGTCTGAACTGCTATATTTAAGCTATCTTATGAAACTAATCTCACTTGCATTCCAATATTTATTGCAATTTCCTTTACATAAATGCTCTGAACTGAGGATAAATGAAACTACAGATACAGATGCTTGACTTTAATATCTTAAACATATAAAAAAAGGGTGGAACAAAACCAGACAGCTAACATGACGCCTCTACTGACCAGAATAGAATTATAGCTTTTATTTGCACAAATGTAAATATAGGTATAATATAACAAATAACTTTAATGAACATTATTTCAGATAATATGTAGACTGATGTTAAAGTTTTCTGGCCTCATATATTTATAAAAAAAAAGAAAATATTAATAGTTTATTTTTAATATAATTTTGTACTGCAGGACACCTTACATACTATATGTCTTATATACCATAGTTTATGTCTCTGAAAAAATAATCTTCACTTTTACTTAGAATGTTCTACAACTGCTTTTTCATGACATAGTCATCATTAAATCTGGTCAGATTTTGGAGAACAGGATAATAATCATTTAAAGCTAAATCTGAGTAGGGTGATTTCCCCTCCTACAACCCATTTTTGCTGTTTTTTGGAAATGCTGAAAGAAGTATCCATCCTGCACATATTTTTGTTCATGAGAAGATTTTCATATAGAAAGTGTAGAACAGTTGTTTTAGATAGACCCAATCTTGCTGCTATTTACTTGACTTTTAATTCTCACTCAGTATTTCTTCTTAGACATGAACAATATTTTCTGACATTCATACCTTGAATGGTCAATCTTCGCAAGAATCATAAATGGATTCTTGTCCCATGTGAAACTGTTTTACCTATTCTTTCACTACAGAACATGAAGGAGACAAATCACCATATACATGATTCTAACATTGTTTCGTTTTTTTAGAATTAAGGTCCTTAGTTAAAAAATTAATCAGAGAACTATATTTAATTTTAAACATTTTAGAACAAACTTATAACATATCTTCCTTCAGTAAAAGAAAAAAAAAAAAAAAAAAAGAATGCATACAATTTCACTTACAAAATTTTCAAATTTATTCAATTAGTACTATCATTACATGTTTACAAGATGAAATTTTTTCTAACCATTTTTATATCCAAGATTAAAAACTTTTTAATTTACTCATATAATCAAATTAGTTTATTAAATCCATAGCCAATGTTTAGGGAAGTCAGTACATCATATTTTAAGTAAGGAACTTGATTACAGGTAAGTAAACAAAAGATAAGAAAAAGCTTAACTTTTATTTATAAGTGTATTATCCATTTTAAACAATATCTTCCATGAATCTATATAAACATTTACTTCTACCTTAATGAGCTTTTTTCCTCTAAAAAAACTTATCCATGTTAAATAATTAGATCCAAAAACCCAAACAATCAATTACTGAAATAATTTCTTCCTATTTTGAAATGAATAATTTAGTGTAAATCATTTTTCATAGCTTAAACCATGAGTCAGTTTCCAATCTAAATTTTCTATCAATGAATATTAAGATTTCTTAATCTTTTAATCTGAATTTTTGAGACACTCACTAACACTGAGTGACATATATTTAAAAATTAAAGATACAATGAAACTGTAGTTTCAGTTAAAACAAATTCTCTACATAGTATTCTTGATATTATCAAACTACCAAAACAGAGACTGCAGATATAATATAATTGCTCATTTTTATAATCATATAAATATCCATTTACAGAAAGTAAGGAACTCACCCGTAAATTAGTGTTGACAAGTATTGAATCAGGAGTTTCTATATTGATGCAGCCTTTTTTTGTTTGAGCAATTTGAGCAGCTATTAGAAAATACATGTGGCAATTAGACAAGCATAAAACCTAAAAAAGCTTTAAAAGACTACAAGCAGTAATATAAAGACCATGAAAGTAATAAAACAAAATCAACACTTACCAGTGCTCAGTTTTCTGCTGGACCTCTTTCTTGGCTATATGATTTAAAAAAAAAAAAAAAAAAAAATTAAAAAAGAGAAAAAAAAAATAGTAAGAAAAATACAATAAATGTGTAAAATTAAAATTATATATAAAAAAGCATAGTAAAAGACTAGTTTCCAACAAGTTCTTTGCCTTTATCTTACCATGTAATATCAGTGCATTTTATAGTCCCTAATATGTTTTATTCCATTAAATTTAGTCATAAAATTCTCACTTTGCACATAGTTTTTCAAAACATTTTATGCCTAACTGATATTTAGCATTAAAAACTTTCATTTATCAACTTTAAAGTTATGAATTGCCCTTTAAAAGGCTTACTTTTCCTTAAGCCACTCATTTGCAGCTTTGGTTTATGAAAAAATTGTAGGCTTTTGTTCATTTGTGGCTTTTGGTCATGTTGAAAATAATACAAACCAATTCTCAATTAGTGCTCCAGGATGGGCAGCATAGAATTTTCTAATACTCCCTTACAGTCTTCAGTATTCAGAATTCAAGGCACAAAAACCAATACCAGTCAAGTCCTAGAAAAACAGACTTCCACCCCAATATCTCCTCCACCAAATTTAACAACGGACGCAACAAGCTTTGATAAGAAATGTTCACCTTACATCTGCAAGATCCATCGGAATAACTACATAGGCAACGTGATTTACCACTTCACATAATACTCCTCCATTGTGTTAAAAGTCCACATGCAATGTGTTTCGCATCACTATAATTTTTTGGCATTCAGTTTAGTGATCAGTGGCTTGTATGCTGTACTGCATCCATGGAATTGAAGTGCAAACACCTCTAAACAAATGGTATGACTGGCATCCTTTTTGGATTCCAGTCTCTGTTGTCATCGTTTTGAATGAAACTTATGATTTGAGTTCATGAAGGACGTACTGACAGTCACTATCCATCTGGTCATAATTGGGAATTTTTTTCCCCTGTTTTTATTTAATTAGTACATCATTTAATGTTGCATGTAATTCATTCAGCTCTAGTTATATATAGCATTCAATTTGATAACTGAAAACAGTACACATTTCTAACTAAGGGCTTACATGTTCTTAGACTGACGAAATGGTGATTCTACCTTTTTTTAGGTTTGTCTCATCATTAATGACAATGTAAGGTACATAGAGAGTGATTCAAAATAGAAGAAAAAGTAAAAGTTCAGTAATTAAAAAAGTAAACAGTACTACAATATGTTCACAGAAATATAAAGGATTTTTTTTTAAATAATGAAAAATGTTACTGCCAGTAAATTTAAATTTTTACTTGGAGTCACAGGTGTTTAGAGATCAGCTGATATTATTGGCCATATTGAAAGAAGTTATTCACCATGTGACAGAAATCATATTTGAACTCTCTTAAATGCTGCACAGAATGTCATATTATGTCTGGCAGTCATTTTCATGAATGGCAGTAGTATTCTAAATATTGTAACCACCATACAAACTTCTGACACAACTGAAGCAAAACACATTGGTGAAATTTTTCAATTATTCTGGAAATAAAATCTTTCATCATTAAATAAAAAAATTCTACATCCTTCTGTGCATTTCTTTAAAACTGTATCCTACTACTGTCTATAACTTTTCAACTTAATGAGATTTTATCTTTTCTATAACTTTTGGCCTGGCCTACATATATTTATATATATGTGTGTTCTATGAAAATCAGATATATCAAAATTTTGACTCCTTTTGAAATTTCCTAGAACTGATGTTATGATTTTATTTTTTTAGTTAGATTATATGATTATTTTGATATTTCCTTAATCTGTACATTTGGTTTTCAAAAAGCTCTAATGAAATAACTTCCTAAAGTTGTTTAAAAGAAATCATAATCACTCCGTACTACTATGCATAACATTACATTCTTTAAATAATACATCAGAAATTTCTGGACATTTAGCAAACAGTCATGAACAAAAGATTTACCAACAGGCCCATCAGAACTTATTCATTTAACTTGAATATGCTTTTGTGCTGTGTAGAAGAAATTTCAAGACCATTTTCACTAAAAGACTTTTGCAATTCTGAAAGTTTAGAAACAGAACTTTTTCAACAACTATTGCCATAAATTACACACACACACACAAAAAAAAAAAAAGTTTCAAAAAAATAAGCTTCTTTAATTTTTTGTAGATGCATAGGTAAAGATTTCTAAAACTAAAAAACTCCCAACTAAAAAACTCTTCTAACTAAAGACAACTGAGGACTGGAAACTGGTAATGTGATCGAATGAATCATGCTAAACCTTATTTTGCACTGATGGAAGATGTCAAATTTAGCAAGAACCCCATGAAACAATCTTGCCTTACTCGCACTGTGCAAGGATCTGGTGGGAGTATCATAATATGGGGCACTGCTGGCAAGGAAGTGATGCCCTGGAGTTCCTCGAGGGTAAACAAACAGCCATGAGATACTTAGATATACTGGCAGATCAAGTGCATCTTGCAATGTTGCATTTTTACCCTGATGGATACTTCATGGACAATAATGCAACTATATATCATGCCAGAAGTGCTCAAAATTGGTTCGCTGAACATCAGTCTGACTTCCAACATCTTTCCTGGCCATCGCATACACCATATCTTAATCCCATAGAAAATGTATCAATTATGGTGGAAAGACGCATCCGACAGCACTCTCCTCTTCCATCTAATTTACAAGATCTAAGAAGATGTATAGCCAATGCATGGTATTCTCTGGACATAAATGCACTCCAGAAGCATGTAGACTCAATGCCCAAACGAATCAGAGTGGTTATCTGTGCAAAAGGTCCAATAATATATTGATATTGGGTTTTTAATTCATTGGCCAGTGTGTGTATAAAGTTACATATAAAATAATAAATTTAATGGAGCCTAGAAAAGGACTAGTTTCTGTAATTAAATTATTACATTAATTTTTTTTAATAAAAAAAGTCACTGAAACTGTTTTCAGTTTTTTTACCTTAAAGCTAAGACCTGGTATTGATGCCAATAATTCACGCATGGTTTGAGGTTTATGCCTTGTGCTTTCTCTGAGAGATGTCTTTTCCAATGAACATCGCCACCTTTCTTCTGGAACACAACCTGCAGGGAAAATATTTCCTAAATTTTATAGCATAAGATAATTATCTTGAAATTATTCATTTAATTACAAATGCATATACTATTCAAACATAAATATCAAATAAAGAATTATAACTTAAATCAAAATAATCATGCCTGCTTTGATTGTTTAATTTTCTCAGTAGATTAGTTTAACCCGTTCGCAACGAGCATCTCTGTTACTGAAGCGTTCTCTTGGGATGGCGTGTTAACCGGATGCGTCGCCCTATGAGGACGGGCAATTTAGGCTGCTAAGCCTAACTTTGGGAAAAAATTGTATAAATGAAATTTGTCATCCAATTTTTTCTAATTTTGGGTACATTGAGAAGAACACTCAGGTAGTCGTCAGAATTAATTTTAAGCCTTTATTATTATATTTTCCTTAAAAACTTTATGAAATACTCATTCTAGAATAATATAATTTTTACCTTATCCCACAAATAAATATATATGGAAAAATATCCAAACAATAGCAGATTTTATTTAACGCAACACACAATTAAAATTTTAAAATGTTAAAACTGTCTTTCATAAAAATTCAACGATAGTCACAGAATTTTAATATCATCTGCTGCTTTTTTACTCAGCAAATTTGACTCATTTAGAATTTGTACATGTTCTATGGTCAGCTAGTGCTTTTGTTTTGCCATTAAAAAAAAAAAAAAAAACTTTCGATAAGCGATACAAAATATTTGTCTCAATGCCGGAAAACACAAAGAGTAATAGAAAAGTCTCTAATGATAGAACATCTACTCCAATATAACCGATAAAAAAATAAAAAATTAGAAAAATTAATAAATTAACTTGAAAATATTCCAGAGCATCGAGAACATGCTCATTTTTTATATAAAATGATGCAATAAGAGCCATTACATTACTCAACACTAACGAATTAGCGATTGTGTATATTCTAGGTTTAGATACTGCTTTCGTTTGCCATTGAAAAAAGATACGTTTCGCTAGCAATTAAAAATATTCATCTCAAAGCACGAAAATTCTAAGAAATTATTCTAATAAAAAATCTGATGTGTACACCACGACTTCCTTGTACGGAATATTAAATTATACGCATTTTTTCTTGCATTTCATTTAAACTTATTGGATTGAATTAAATCTACTTCGCCGACAGCGCATAAACCACAATAGAATAAATACATTCTTTAAAATTCCCTCTAGTATTTGTTTACCATAGCGACACTCTGACGCTAGATTCACTTAACAGTATTATATTTTGTTTATATTATAACTCAGAAAGCATAAAATTTATATCATTTAAAGAATTATCTAATCGTTGCCACATGTTTTATTCAAATACTATAATAAAGCTAGAAAATGTATAAAAGAAATTAAGCAAACAAAACAAAAAAGAAAATGTTTTTCACAGACGATTGAGTATTTCGCATTCAATTAATTCAGTTCTCACTTCGTGACAAGGCAAAAATACATAAAAACTCAAAATATCTGTATTAAAAATTATGAAGTAAATCTTAAACACTTATTTCCTCGAAAAAATTCCAGAAAAGATTAAGCATGATTTAATTCGCATTAATAAATGAAGGCGTTATTTTTGTTGTTGCGAAGCTACATTTCTCTAGATTGGCAACAAATCCACTACTCTGCTGTTTCAAATGTAAACAAGCAAAGGCCAACATCAAAAATATTATTAGGCTTAGCGGCACTTAAACAACTTTAAAATTGCTGATAATTCTACAAATATTGCATACAGATTTATTAAAGGCATAAAAGTCTTAACCGGAAGATAAGCACAACATAATTCAATCTTTTTTAAAGCAAAAAATGCACAATTTACAAACATATAAGAGTAAAGAAACTGAGATCACTGAACTAGGTTACAGAGTGGATATATATATAAATATATTTATATACGTTTGGTGCACCCGATTGCAACCAAAATACGAGGTGCACATCCACATGTTATAGCAGTCCTACATACAAAATTCCAACTTTTTGAGGCTACTCGTTTTTGAGTTACATGATATATGTACGTACGTACATACATTAGTACAGACGCCACGAAAAATTCTCTTCAGAATTAATTTTAAAGCAGTTTTATAATTTTTTTGGAGGAAAAGAGTTTTTTATTCTGTTCTTACGTACAGATATCATGCAAAAACATCGTTAAATTGCATTTGATAGCGGTCAGATTGGATATTTTCTTTGAAATATTCTGCCTGAAACTTTTTGCGATTACAATACTTCTTTTTTACTTCGTAGGAGGAAGTAGAAAAGGAAAAATATAAGAGTAATAAAAAAAATCTCTAATGATAGAAGTTTATCCCACTATATCGCAAAAAAAAAAAAAAATAAAATAAAAATAAAAAGTACCTCAATGCAGGGAGAGCATGTGCATTTGTTTATATCAAATCACACAGCTAAAGAGACATTACATTGCTCAATGCCCACCCACGAATCTCACTTTCCTTCCGAAACAAAATACCAAAAATAAAAATCACTGCATATAAATGAAGATAAACATACTTAACTTTGAATATATTTCCCCATAACAGGCACACAAGTACATCTAGCGGCAACAAAAAATATTAATTAAGCGTTCTATTTAAAAAGTCAAATGTGGTACGCCGATCGGATCCGGTAGAGTGAATTAAATAGCGATTCAAATATGACACACCCAGCCGTGAGGTAATGTTCGCTGCTCATGCACATATGACACACCCATACTGAACGGGTTAAGCTTCACGGCAATAATAAGTTTTGCATCACATTATCTCAACATTCTGTTTAATAAATGCATGGATATTACAGTTCAGAATTTTCAACAATACTGATTTCATAGAACGATTTTCTAATTTTACATGCAACTACTAAATCTTTTTCACTAGCATGCTCTGAATTTTTTTGCTTTGTAGCAGAGTTATAAAATACAAATCATTAAACTGTTTCGAGTGTCTGAAAAATATTTGTTATTATTATTTTTTATTTTAAAATCAGTTCAGTCTTAATTTCTCGGAAGTTAAAGATTTAAAAGATAAGATTTAAAAAGTATACTCATACATTTTAATTTCAGGTTTTCTACAGCACAGTTTTACCAAAATATTTTTAAAAAATTAGAAATTTTACAAAAAAGAAAAAAAATTTACAATTTTACCTTCCTAAATATATTTTTTCAACTAGCCTATTTGATTTTAATTCATTAGAAATGATCGAGCAATCCATTCAAAAAATTGTGAGCACTGTCATGGAGTAAATATCTGACACAAGATTTCATATAATTCAGAATATTAATAAGATATATGCATACATACATATATATTTTCAAGCTAGTTGAGCATCAAAATATTTTTTTAATTTAACTAAATTTAAAATTTATTTGATTACATCACTTCACAGAGTTATTTATTTTTTTACTCTCAACATTTTTAAAAAGAACTGTTAATTTTAATTTGCATTTTAAGCTCTGGGAACTGCTGCATTTTTCTTTATTAGTAACTGAAAGTTCAGTATGAACAACAAGGCATTTTAGCGTACACAATGGCTTTTCACTTAATTCTTCAAGGATTAAACTAGATCCTGAAGAATGCTTATTAACAGGTGCTGGGGATGAGGAACTGGGGGAAAAAAAAAAAAAAAAAAAAAAAAAAAGACATTCTTGGAATAGAAAAATTTTTGGTAATCAAGCTATTCAAAAAGGTATCCCTACAATCTTTCCTAATAGCATCTCTATAGGGATTTTCAAAAACTTCAAATGTATTTTTGTTTAATGAAAATGAATAATACTAATATCTGCTGAGCAACTAATCTAACATACAAAGATGTTCTACATTCTGTTATGAATTTTGTACATATATGGATAATTTTAGAGAAATTATTTGTGAAATTGTTGTATTTTTCTACTTAATATAACATGAAAATCTAAGGAAAGAATACTGTAATAATCCTCAGGTTTGAAGAAACATAAGATTTAAATTAGAGGACTTCCTGTTCTTATTTGAACAACTTCACGGGTCCACTGAATGACCGGAAAGTATTGAAAAGGAAACTCATTAAGGAACCTCCTTGTAAAGTTTCCTTAAGATGAAAACATAAAAGGAAAGGAAGAGGCTTTTGTCCAAAAGATGATGCTGTAAGATAAGTTGCACCAAGAGACTGTGTGATCTGCATCAAGCAGAAGTTTTGTCTGTTCATTCTGTAGCTGTACTGATGATTTACTGTTGATTTACTGTTATTTAATTCAGAAACCTTTGTTTAAATTTTAAAATAAATATTTAAAAGTCCACTGGTCTGATTACTTTCAATCTCGGAAGTTCACTTCGGTAATTTTGGTGGCAGAGGTGTGAATGGAAAATCCCCAGATAAAGTTTACGGACATCAGATTGAATATAGAGGAACATCAGTCCCCTGAATACAGCTATCTTTAAGTGGTGGGATCCAAAATCCACAGATAAGTTTACAGACATCAGTCTGGATAAAAAAAAGAATGTCAGTCTCCTGAATTCAGCTCAAGTTTGTGGGATAGTCATTGTCCAAATATCATCACTATTTCTGCAGAAAATACACACCGCCAGGTCTGAAATTTAGCTCAAGTTTGTTGGACAGTCAACCGTCTCATGTCCAAAAATGTTTAAAAAAATTTCATCCATTTTAGTAGTGGACCGTGAGGTTCCAAAAATCCAGTTCAGCGGGAAGTTTGTGGGACAGTCAATGTCTGAAGATCATAAGTGTCCGAAAAGTGAAGGCTTGAGAAGTTTGTAGTGTGTACAGATAAATGTGAAATAAGTGTCTGGATCATCAGCATCCATAAAAATCTTAAGTTGTGAGAAATTAATTACGCTGTGATTGCATCTTCTTTTCCAAGCATCAAACAGTACTTTCAAATCTACAAATCCAGGTGGGTAAATACCTTGGATTTTTATACTGAGGCAGTGAACTAACTTAATTTAAGTATTTTGTAATTTAATTTACACCAGTTCACATAACTGTTTTAAGTCAACACTGTTTTCTGTAAAGCTTAAAGAAATGTGTTGTTTTGGTTTTATGCTTACAATAAGAAAGCATACATTTTAGAATTTGAATCTGTGTTAATAGATCTTTTAATATCCGAAATGTTAATGTGTTGTGCTGAAATAAAGCTTATATAACTAAATGTGTAAAAGAGAAGAATTACTATAAATCTGAAGGTTCTACGGTTATCTGGTATTTTGACATATCATTTTTAAGAAGTCTTGAATGTTTTGAATGTTAGAATTTTCAGTTAAGTATGTAAAACATTAGCTGTGTAAGAACTAATTTTTTTTTTTTTTTTTTTTTTTTTTGTTGTTGTTGTGTTGTGTAAAAGGGAAAAGCTAGAAATCCTCGACATATTATGTTTTAACTGTTGTTATATCAATGTTTATTGAGCATGTATATATATATATATATATGTCTTTGAATTTAATTTACCTATGAATGCATACTTTAATATCCTTGGAAATTTTGATGAAAGTATATTGTATTATCATAAGCATTTGAGTTTTACATAACTGAATGAAAAGCATTTCAAAGGTTTATATTATTTGTAGTATCATAAGTCCTCAAGTAGACAAATTATATTTGAATGCATAATGTACATATTATAGTGTAAATTGTCTTGTATTTGTGTTTAGACACATAGAGTATGTTGTGAAAAAAATAAGGATTTAATTTTAATTCTCATATTTGAAACTGCTATTTGCTTAAAACAATTTTATATATAGAGAGAGAGAGAAAGGGAGAGGGAGCTAGTTAGATTGTTATCATAATTTGGGCTTATATCATGGCATTCTTAGCAAAAGTTAGAAAAAAGGAAGTTAAAACCTTGGCTGAAGAGTAAGGGAAAAGGTTGGACCTGAGCTTAGGATATTGGATCTAAGACAGTTGATTATGAGAAATGAATCCTACGAGGAGGAACTTGTGAAAGGCCAGTTGGAAAATATCACTTCAATGAGGCTTCCGAGAGAAGAGGAAGAGAGGCGAGATATAATTAGGAGAGAAGAAAGGGATTTTCAATTAACAAGATTAGGATTACTAACTAATGAAAATAATCCTCTAACTGGTGAGAATGAAGAAATGTGCTTAGGAAACGCCGTTATGATCTGCAAAAAATTACTGCAAAATTTGATTCTGAAGAAAACGATATTAGTTTGTATCTAGTCATTTTTGAGCACCAAGCAAAGCGTGCGAATCTACACCAAACAGACTGGGTTTCTGTTTTATTGACAATTTTGCCAACTTACATAGTTCAGCTGATTATGCAAAAGCCAGAGCAGCAGGCTTATGGCTACGCTTACATAAAAGAAAAACTGCTTAAAAGGTTTAAGCTTAGTCCAGAAAAATTTCGCATCAAATTTCCGAAATCCCAGAAAGATACTCAAACCACTTGGAGGGATTTTGCTTTTGAATTAAGGAATTATTGTGAAGAATGGATAGTTTGGAAAGTAAAAGATTTTGAACTTTTAAAAGATCTCATGATAACGGACCAAATGAAGCATCGAGTAAATTTTGAAGTGGGTCAGCATTTTATTGACAGTGGGCGAAGATAATGTCAGAATTTATTTGGCGTTGTTATCTTCAACCAATATCAATAAAATGTGTGTACGTAAACACCAGAAGATCTCTCCTGTTCATAGTTCGGAGTCACAAAAGGGAAATAAAAACCATTCAAATTCAAGAGATTCACAAAAGTATCAACAGTGTGGAGGGAAAGCTAGATATGCCTCCGCAAAAAAGAAAAACCTTCCAAAATCAGAGTGAACATCATTTTGATGTACATAAACCACTTAAGTGTTATCCTTGTGGCTCAACTGATCACTTAAGGCCTCAATGCCCAAAAGTACAAAAAGATTTTACAGTGTCATATGATACAACCTTAGCACCTAAAGCTATACACATGATTTGGTGACATTCTGTAGCTGACTTTTTGCAACAGAACATGAAGCAAATGATGATTGGAATCTGGTAGTGTGTATAGTTCCATTTCAGACATCATGAAGTTAATGATAACGATATTTTTTAAAAATTTCACAACATTCTAAAACAAGTCTCTTTCTTTTAAATGCCAAAAAGATTTTGACAAAATATGATTAAACATGGCAATGTGAATGTTTGCAAATACGATATTTGCGATGTCGGGAAACTTTCATTAAAACCAATATAATATTGTCAGTGTAACAATCAAATATGCAGCCATATTTCTCATTTGCCCTTACATTTTCACAATTAGAAAACATTTTTAGCATATAAGTCTGTTTTTATTATGCTGTTGTTGTGACTATCCAGATTAGGCAGTGGTTTTATTATATAATGGAAATAACCTTTTCAGAATATTATTTCAGTTTATCCTTACACTTTGCATGCCAAATGTGAAAAAATGCATACTAGTAAAAGTTTCTTTGTGTGTACTAATACTGTCAATATACACATGTATCAGAAATTTATATTTCAAAACATGTCTAAAATTTTATACACATTTAAGTAATAGTTTAATAAATGATTTGACATTTATGTTAATTTAGTTCAGCATTTTGCAGTATTTTCCAAACAGTTAATACAACAGAAGCATTCCATTTTTTAGGAAAAGGAAATGAAGAATTTGGAAAGGGATTTATTTAACCCTCTGAGCGGCACAGGTTTTTGTATCAATCATGAAGATCTGTATTTAAACACCATTTATTTGCTAAATGTATATAATTACTTATTTTAGTCTCTATTTTCATCAAGAAGACATTTACACTATTAAAGAATGTAAAATACCTCAAACAATAAATTAATATACACCAAGTAACAATAAATCTCCTGATCAGATAAAGCCGTTATGGCACTCACAGGGTTAATAATAAATGTACACTATACTGGACTAGTAGGTGCAAAACTGATTGAAACTATTTCATGAAAAGCAAAGATATACAATCAGATAAACCAAAACAGAAAAAGAAAACTATTCGCTTCTTGGATTTGTACAATTTTTTTATCTCAATTCATCCAGTAGATTAACAAAACAAAAACAAAAATCACGGTTCCATTAAAGCCAAACTACAGTGCATTTTGACTTATTTCTTTCCTTAGTTTCTGGCTTAATACTATATTAGGGGTTCTCAACCAGGATTTTCCCTCTGGAGGAGAGGGAGGAATTTCATAGTTTCAGGAAGGAAATGTGACCTACCTTTTATCCACCTTTTGAATATTTGGTTTTTAGTTCATGAATATAAAAAACTAATTTTTAAGTTTGGGTATTTATCAATTAGCTCGCATGATAAAGTTCTCTTCATAAATACCAAAACATATACTATTTCTTGTTTAATTTATAATTTAATTTAGAATTTCAATTCATAAAACACATTAAAAATAAATTTAAACAAATGAATATGTATTTTTTAGCTTTCTAAAGGAGGGATGATATGATGTTCTAGCAACGGTGAAAGGGCTACATGATGCAAAAAAGGTTGAGAACCACTATACTACACAAAATGAAACGCTCATGAACAGCAACAAGGAAGCATTCTCTAACAAATACAAAAACCAATTTGAGGAAGGCACAAACCTCTCTCATGTAATCATTATGTTGTGATTTACTTGAAGCAAGTTTTGGTTCAGAAAACTCAACAGATGTTAACTCCTGTCACTATCAGTAAATGAATCATAGTTGTAATGCAAGTTATTGTGTGATCCAACAAATCCTGCATATGCTCATTCTTTTTGTTCACCTAGTATGAATGAAGGCTGCACAGCAATTTTAGCTTCAAGTCACATTTCAATTTCATGGCTTAGTTACCTGAACATAATAATTCTTAGTGAAGAACACCTCTTTCTTAAACAAACAAGAAAACTTCTTGTTAATTTCTTGGCAAATCCCAAATCATAAAACCCATGATAATGGTAGGGGAAAAAAAAAAGGATTATGTAAGCAATGGTTGTAACAGCAATTACTGCTAACAAAGTACTACACACAAACCAAACTGGAGACACCTGATGTCAAAAAAATACAAAAAACAATAAGTGCCCTTAATAGAAAAAATTAGCATATATTTAAATGTTTGAGTGAAATAAGGATTCATTTGCTTTTGCTTTTACATGAGATACTTTGCCATTCCATGAAATAATTCAAGTAGTGAAAAGTATTTCTGAACTTATCATGCAAGCAAATAAAAAGCACTCCATTCTTTCTGCATTTCATTTTGAAGTAACGAGAGTCAGACAGTATATCATGTTTTTATGAATCGTACTCATGTACATTTTTGTTTTATTTCAAAGTCTGGTTTCCATTCAGTTACAGTTAATGAATGTTTTCGAAGAATAAACCCTTTTTTTTAACTTCAGTGTTCTGTTATCAGAATCGTGAACTGAAATAAAAATCATTCCACTAACTCAAAAGAACATAAAAATTTTATATTTTAGTTCATTTAGAAAATTAAAATTCATAAATAAACAAATAAGCAAAATAAATTCTCTTAAAAATACCTGCTCCAGCAGGTGCTGGAGGCAATGACTTCATGATGATCCGAGGTATAGGAGGAGGAGCACTGCCACTTGCAGCAATGGCTGTATTTCTTCTTCGCCTTTTTTGTTGTTGTCGCAAAGCATGCTTAATTGCTCTCTGACTATGACTTTGAGATACCTAATATGAAAATAGTAATGTTCAGCAGCAAGTTCTTGTCAGATGTGGAAGAGAATGATAACAAAAAGAGGGAACACAATTTTTCATGATTTACCTTAGCAGGTGATGACACAGGAAGATTAGCAGCTGATGCTTGATTACATTTTTCTTTTTTTGCATCTTCTGTAACATTTTCACCATTAATCCTTCTCACACGGGTATAGTATTCATTTTTATATGTAAGAGGCTTAACAGTAAGCTGATCTGCTTTATGGAGAACTGCTTCCTCCTGATGGTTCATGTGTGAATTATTATTTAATGACAAGGAGAAATTCTTGAAGCCAGGTGGTAAACGTACATACAGAACTATAAAAATAATAATAAAAAAAAAAATCTTTCAAAAATTTTTCATTATTTCAAATTTGAAAAATAACAATTATCAATAATATTACCACATATTAAAACTAACTATCAAAACAGGTTTAAAGCTATATAATTTATTTTACTAATGCATAATTTTCAAATAATAAAATAAGAAGGACATAAAGTAGCTTAAATTTTTATTGCCACAGCTGTTCCTATTAAGAGCTACAATTTTTTAACTGATCTGCTACAACATTTATCTTATAACTGCCAGCAATACCTAGAGATTGCATACATTTTCTCGGTAACAAACACAAATGTCAGTATCCAAAAAAACTAGCATGTATACTTGTTTACTGAGGAAAATCTTGAAGATATATGCAATCATTTCAAAACAGTGATTAACAATAATGCTAAAGAATGCTGCAAATTAATCCAAATGATTGCAGCATTCAACTAAGCATGATTTGTAATCATTTGCATTATTGCAATCATCAAATTGATAAATATGAAAGAAATTAGCAACAATGAAAGAAATTAAAATAATTACCTCGATCTTTCTTCCTTCCACAAGGTGAAGAAATGGATGCTCCAGAATCTTGATCTGAATCCACAGGATCAAATTCTTGACCACTGTCGTCTTCATCAACTTCCATCTTAACTCCACCTTCAGGAATATTACTCTACAAAAAATATTTACAGTTTGGATCGAAAGCAGTATTAAAACATGTACAATAGTAGTAAAATACAGATTTTTAAAGAGTACAGCTTGTTGAAAATCTGAAGAAACATTTAACAAAAATTAAAAAAATAAATAAATTCATTTAAATCAGTTTTCCAAAAATTAATGTTCATTGCTTATGAACTGAGCTCCCTGCTTAAAGATTCTAGTGCACTTAATATAATTTACCTTCAACCATTTTCAGCAAGCAAAAACTGTCTACAAAAGTGCGATTTAATGTCAATAATGGGCAAGTGCAACTTCGAAGCACACTCATAAAACCATCATTTTGGTTCTAATGCAATGACCTCAATAACACAGTTTATTTTTTGTAAAGAATATATATTACCTGCTATTTCTGTTTTTCTTACATTTTGGACAAAAATTATATTAAAATTTTGGACTTGCCTTCTACACAACAGCAAAAAGTGAGGCATTTTCAAAATTATGGGACTGATTATATTGGTAGGCATATACACTCATGGACAAAAAAATTAGCGCTCCAAGAAGGAGTCGTCAAAATGAAACGAAATTTTACATACGTAATGACTACTTTGATATAAGTAAATGATAAGAAATTCAAAGAAAAAGGATAATTTATTTCAGAGAAAAAGGCAAAAGAACGGAGGAGTTAATACTCCGTTGGACTCCCTCTAGCGCGAATGCATGATGTGATACGATCGGGCATTGAGTCATACAAGTTCTGTATGATGTCTTGAGACATTTCGTTCCATATTTGCTGTAACCTTGCCTCTCGTTTGTTCAAACTCGTGGGATGTCCCAACTCGTCGTCCCAAATGATCCCAGATATGCTCGATTGGCAACAAATCTGGGGATCGGGCAGGACAAGGAAGGGTATAAACAGTGTGGAGATAGTCTTGTGACACCCTTGCCATATGAGGCCGAGCATTGTCTTGTCGAAAAATGGCTCCTGGGAGCCGTTGCATGAGTGGCAACACATGTGGTTGCAGGATTTCATGAACATACCACAGGGCTGTCACGGTGCCACGGAACAATACTAAAGGTGACCATGTATTGTAGGCAATGGCACCCCATACCATCACACCAGCTATGGGAGCGATGTGTCGCTGTACAGCAAAGGCAGGATTAAGACGTTCACCACGGGCTCTCCCCACACGAACACGATTATCATCACTGCCAAGATTGAATTTGGATTCGTCGCTAAAAAGATGACCTGGTTTCATTTCACTGCAAGTCCAGTTTCTTCATGCTCGACACCACTCCAAATGGAGGCATCAATGGGTGGGCATCAAGGGCAGCACATGTAATGGGAGCCGCGATACCAACTGTCATTCAGCCAGGTGCCTTCGTATGGTTCGAGAAGACACAGGGGCTCCTAGTGAAGGTGCTACCTGTGCCTGGATGGCGGCCAATGAAGCAGTTGGCTGTACGCTTGCATTTCTTACGATGTGCGGTCTTCTCAATGACTGGTCTGTCGAGGGCGTCCTGAGCCTGGTCTTCGTGTACATGACATCTCTCGGGTCCACTGGTCCCAACACCTCATCACAACAAAATCAGAGCGGCCTAATTGACAAGCTACTCGCCTAGATGACCACCCAGCTTCCATCATCCCGACGATTCTCCCCCTCTCAAACTGCGACAACTGCTCATATTGTCTTCGAACACGGCATAATGGCATGTCTACCTCAGCTTTTCCTTTGTAAATGATTCAGCACACTTAAACAAACTTTGGCTGCCTGTTTTATACTCCACAGAGCAGGACGTTCAATGCCCTCTACCGGCTATACGTAATGCACAATCACGCTGCATTTCTAATCATTTGCATATCTCCCCAACATGTACCTCATTGCAAGTTTCGTTACGATCCCGCAATTATTTCTTGGTGCACTAATTTTTTTGTCCATGAATGTACATATATTGTACTATCTCAAAATATTAAAAAATCTGAAGTTCGGCAAAATGGCATAGTAAAAAAACACAGTGCAACTGCATAACAGCACTTACATTCATATTTAAAGTAATTTACATTGCATCTACTTCACAAAAAGAGACAACTATTTTGTTGGTTTTTTAAATATCATTAAAGAATTTTGGCTGCCAAATTGACTGCTGCAGTTAAGTTTCATAAATTCGGCTGTTAAATAATCTCACAGCTTGAGCTTCCTTTCAAGATTTCAGATTTGAATTTTTTTTATATGCTATAGATGCAACTAAAATCTGTTGATTATTTAAGCAATTAAAGAACAATTTGTGATTATCTCCAACTAAATAAAGAAGAATGATCTGCTTCTTCGATCTTCTGACAAAATGACGCAACTTTAGCAGAAACTTTGTATTCAAAGGTCAATAGGGAAATATGCAAGTAATGATTCTAGCAATACTTCTGAATTACTTTACATGAAGTGGAATTAGGAGACTAAATGGTTGTTTCATAGCTAAAAAATAAATAAATAAATAAATAAACTTGAAGAGGCAATATTTCAGAACCAGAATTCTCATTCAGCTCTCTTACTATGTTCAATTAACTGACCAGTCGCTCATCTTCATCACAGAAGTTCATGTTATTTTGATTCTGCAGTTAAAACTGCAGCTGGGTCTTAAAAGTTTCCATGGAAAAGAATGATTAAAATCAGCATGTATACTCAAAGCCAGGCAGCTAGTATTCAACAGCAAGACAATGCTTCGCCTCACAAAATCATAGCAGTATGTGGATTTTTGGCAAATCAGTCTGTCATCCAACATCCTTTGACACATCTGTCGCCATAGACCTTATTTCTGCTCAGAAATTTGGACTCGATATTTAAGACACATTAGCACAGAAATGAATCTGATATTTAAGAATTATAAGCTGCAGTGATGAGGGCCATTAACATCATCCAAAGATGAAATAGCATAAATGTATACACATTCACTGATTCAGCACATCCACAAAAGTAATGCAAAATCAATTAAAATAAATAATGTATATATAATTCATCCCATATTCAATTTGGAATAAACATAGGCTTAAAAAAAAAAAAAAAAAAAAAAAAAAAAAAACTAGAAGCAAACTGCAAAAGAAAGGAGTCAAAACCAAAAATCAAATAAGATGTTTACATCTTTCAGTGCATTACCATCATCAGGGGTTTGGTGCAACAAAAGAAGCAAATAAAGCAGCCTGTTTCTAAACCAACAAAGAAATAAAGTTTAAAACTTAAAATAATCTCAGAAAAATAATCTGTGTCTTTATCAGTCCAACCCCTACACACCAAACTAAACAATATAAAAAATTGCAAAACTTTAGCACCAAAAATATAAACAAACATAAAAATAATATTTTGTGCGGACATAATATATAAAATATTATTTTGAGAGAGAGATTTCTGGACTCAGTTTGCTAAAAATAATAATAGTTTTACATTTGTTAATGTTTTTGATCGTACAATTTCGCAAATTTTTGCACTGTTTATTTCGGCCTATAGAGGTTGAACTGATAAAACCACAGATTACTTTAATTGTTTTTCTGAGATTAAGTTTTAAACTTCCATTTGTGTTTGTTAGTTTAGAAATAGCCCGATTTATTTACTTCTTTTGTTGCACCAACACCGTGATGACAATGCAACAAAACATGCAAATTTATTCTTTTTTGGTTTTGACATGTTTTTCCACCTTTTTCCCCCGTAATTTGCCAGAGTGCTTCTGGATTTTTTTTTCCTGCATATGTTTATTTCAAACTGAATATGGAATGAATTTTAAATGTAGTATTTGTTTTTTAGTTTATTTTGCAAAATATATTATAATTACACAAGAATTAAAAATATATATATATAAATATGCCTAGTATTTTCGCACATTAAGGTGCAGAAAAATTATTACTCAAGACATAAAGTAAGAAATTTAGAATTAATTTTTCACAAAGACCAAAAATTGAAATTCATAATTAATGAATTTAAAATAATCCAATAAATGCAAAAAAGAATTAAAAAAAATATTAAAACCAAAACTTTCAAACAAGCAAAACCCCATTTTAAAAATTTTTAATGAAATTTAAAGAAAAATGAACATAACAGAAAAGGAATTCAATCAACTTCAATGTCACTTCATCAAGGGGGAGGAACACATACATATGTGCAAGATAAAAAAATATGAAAGCAACCTTCTAATTTTAATTGGCTATAACCTCTTTTATTTTTTATTTACTCTATCTTAAAAATAGCACTATAAATCTAAACTGTGTCAAGTGACGATATTGAAAAAAAAATTAGTTTTGATGTTGCATGATAAAAAAGTTTTCTCAGTCTCTCCAAGTGCATCATTATAAATAATTTACTCAATAATTGGTTATATTTTGAAATCTGGAAATATAATGTTTTCTTAGATTAATGATTTTTAATTCTATGGATTAAAAAAAAAAAAAAAAAGGTTACAGAAGATTTAGTTATGCCCCTTGTGTTATCACAAAGTTGTTGCTTCATTTATCGCCAACTTGCTGTTTCATTTATCAACAAATTGTGTTTCATTTATGGTAACCTGAGTAGTTGAATGTTATGGAAACCCTATTAAGACGTAATCGGTTGCATGATTGCAATAAATTTGGAATTATGAGAAAAGATTTGTAAGAGCTTGCAGTGTGTTGGTTAGGAAGTACATTGCTTATTTTGTGGTTTAGACGGTAGAATGGCTGAATGTTGATAAGATCAATTTGAAGTTTCTGTACAATTTGGAACGAAAGGGAAAAAGAGCATTGATTGAGTGGTGTATAAATGAAGGTTTACTTAGAAGCCATTATAAGTGTCCTGTTTGTACGAAGGAAATGCGCATGATCAAACGTCAGAGGGTACTGCCAACTATGGAGAATATTTTTTACTCTTATTTTTGTGAATTTATGTGGCGTTGCCAGTACACAGATTCTAGTTAGATAATTTTAAGAAGTTTTTGAATGCTGTTAAGGAATTTTGTTTGACTGAAGAACGAGAAATTTCTAAATAAGGCAAGTAGATATTTCCTTTGTGTAGTGCTAAGACGAATTTCCTTTTTTTAATATTATTTGATTGCTTTATTTAAAATTATAATTTAATTATAGTTTCTTGAGATTATATATTTTTGTTGGCTGCTCCTTAAGACTTTTTAAGTGAATATAAATATGTGTACATGGACAAAGTTAAGACAGTGCGCAATGCCAAGTTTGTGCAATTCTCCTGATTTTTTTTTAAAGTGAGTATGTACATGGATACCAAGTTTGCGCAATTCAATGTGTATTCAATGGCTGAATGTTGATAAGATTAATTTGAAGTTTCTGTACGATTTGGAACGAAAGGGGAAAAGAGGATTAATTAATTGACTGCTATGTAAATGAAGATTTACTTAGTAGCCATTAAATGTCCTGTTTGTAGAAAGGAAATGCATATGGTTGAGTGTTGAAGGATACCGACACTACGGAGGATATTTTTTACTCTTATCTTTGTGAATTTATGTGGTGATGCCAGTGTACAGATTCTAGTTTTGTAATTTTAAGAAGTTTTTGGAAATTGTAAAGAATTTTGTCTGACTGAAGACAGGAAAATTTCTAAATAAGGTAAGTGGGTATTTCCTTTGTATAGTGGTGCTAAGATGAATTTCCTTTTTTATGTTATTTCATTGTTTGATTTAAAATATAGTTTATTGAGATTATATATATATATATATATTTCTGCTCATTTGAATTTTTAAGTGAATATAGATTGATGTGTACATGAACAAAGTCATGCAATGCCTAGTTTGTGCAATTATCTGATGCTTTCTTAATTGACAATAGGTCGATGTGTACATGGAGTTTGTGCAATTCTTTGACTTGTTATTTTGGATTTGAGTAGTGGCAATTTTTGCTGGCAAAAATCGCTGTTACACAAAGCTAAAATAACAAGTCAAAGAACTGCATTAACTTGGTGTCCATGCACAGCCAATTATTGCCAAGGGACACCCGTAAATATATTTTACAAAAAAAAAAAAAAAAAAAAAAAAGAATAGCACTGTTTTGCAAAAATATCAAATTAAAATGTATAAGTATTCTAAGATTTTATTCAGGAAAGATTATTAAATTTTATTGTTATTAGTAAAATATATGTTTTGTCAAAAATTTTGAATTAATGTTAAAAATTTTGGAATTATTCTGTTGACAAGATAAGAATTTTGGAATTATTTTATAAATAAGATCATGGTTTAAAATTTTGTATTTAAAAAATTTTCTAATTATTTTGAGAATGACTTGTATATGAAATATAAGTGAAACAATTATTAAACGGGAGACTAATTAAATACTGTTAATATAGAAATACTAAACATTTAAGAAATTGAATAATCGTAATAAAATTTATAGCAGAATTTAATTAAGAGTAAAATGTATTAAAATTTGTTTCAAATTATGGAAAATGAATGTTATAATTATCAATAATTGTATGTAAAATATAAAGTATGTTGAGGGAGTACTGGTTCAGAAACAGAGGCCTGTTTTACTTCTGCATAATTGTTCAGTTTACTCTCCTCATATAATATAAACTTTAAAGTCTCCCACTTTATTTAATTTTTCATATAGGATCTTTTTGGGTGCTTTGGGGTCTTCCAGTTTGTGTAAAATAAGAAAATTGTAAAATGTAATAATAAAAGTAAAAAACCATAATTTCAATAATGCAATTACAAATGATAAAATATTATAAATGCGAAAATTAGTATGGTGTAAAATTTTAATATTTATGATTATTCGTAATAATTAATTGGGAATATAAAAATTTTATAATTGTGATATTGTGTGTAAAAATTTTTGGAAATCCTTCCCTGAAGTATAAAAATTGTGATGTGAATGTTCCAAAAATAAAAACTTTTTACAGATTGGACTCAAATCTTAATCAGACTTTAAAAATGTGCGATTGTTTCAAATGAATATAGTGCTTAAAATTATTACCGATTTCAAAATTTTACAATTTATAATTTTTTAATTGTTCAAAAGTTAATTTTATGTTCTGTATTTTCAAAAATGTATCTCTCATATTTTGCTGCTCTAATGCTTTTTCTCTCAAAAAGGCTTCTCTATTGCTCCACCTTCATCTTTTTGAAAGGGTGGGGGGAATGTGTAAGATAAAAAATATGAAAGCAAACTCCTAATTTTAATTAGCTATAACCTCTTTTATTTTTTATTTATTCTCTCTATCTTAAAAATAGAGCTAAGTCTAAACTGCATCATTAAATTAATCATAAGATCCTACGTAATGCTTAATTTTTAATGCAGATACCTCTTGACCAATCGCCAAACTGTAAATCAAAACTTTTTCTAACTCAAACTGAAACTTTTGACTCCCTCACTACTTCCTCTGAATTGCTACGACATTTTTTTCGCTTACGCTTTCCTCCTGGCAAGATGCTCCTCATCCAATGCTGCTGCTTATTTGTTTATGATGATGTACTTTAAAACCCGTGTAGAAGGAAATTACTGCATTTAACTACGACTGAAAAATATCATATCTATAGAAAGATGATCTGATGTGAATTATCCTGCAATAAAATTATGTTTCAAAACAGTAAATATCTGTCTTTCATTTATGCGTTCATCCTTCCAACTATGCATTAAAATGTCTTTGGAGGCCAGATATTTAAGTACCGGATTCCTTCATCTATGTATTAAATCATGACATATATCTACATATACACATACATATGCAAATACATACATATATGTAATAATAGCAAGAAAATGCCAGAACACTGCTGATGCGTACGTAGATCCATATTGGAGAGGAAGAATTCTGATTGTGTATTATGCTGATGTGTTGAGATCATAATATCTAAAAAACTCGGCTGTCGAGGCAGTTTTAATTCAATTTTTATTTGCAACTGACATTTGTGGCTATAGTTCGCTTGGCACTCTAGCCGTACTTATTCAAGAACATTTACATTTTTGATATTATTGCAATAGGAAACAGCATAGTGAAATTATGTCCAAGCAGAGCAAAGGGAGAAGCTGAAGTGCATAGTTAAGCAAGGGAAGCACATGAAGAGAAAGGAAAGGTTTTGGTTTGAGTTAAAAGTTTCAGTTCACAATTATTACGTCATCAGCGTCGTGTATGCCATGCAAAATGGAATGATCTAGAAATGGTGCAATACAGAGAAGTTATTTTTATACCAGAGAGGAAGAATTAAAGAGCTTACGTTAGTTTAAATTATAATTTCGATTTATATATATTTATATATACAGTCAAAAGTCTTTAATCCGGGCATCCATAATCCGGAATGATCTATAATCCGGACCTCAAAGCTACAAACTTTCTGCGCATGCGTCAACACATAATGTGCATAATACCTTTACACATGCACCTATACCTTTACGCATGCACATAATATATTTACGCATGAGCGTTTAATGTATAACAGACGGTATAAGCTAAGCTAAAATTATCTAATTATCTATTTCAGTTAATGTTCCACATTACGTTGTTCCTTAATCTTCTAATTGGATCCGGCTTATTAGTTTTTTTCAGACTGTTAGAGCAATTTTATAAAACTAAGCTTGAACTTTCGATTATGTCAAAAAGAATTTCCGATTCTGGAGCTGCCAAAGGATCTACAAAGCGAAAGCATGTTTCGATGTCCATCAAACAAAAAGTCAAATTGCTGCAAAAAGTGGATAAAGGCACAAGCTTTGTTTCTCTAACCATTCCGAAATCTGTTTATTAATTTCTTGCTGCTCTGCGGAAGTAGGGACGTCGCGGCAATGAACTGGAAGTTGATCTGTCAGCACTATCTTTATCTTCAGGGCAGATGTTTTTATTTTATTTGGCTTATAATTTCTTTCTAAATGTAGTATTTCATCTCGATGTACTCCTTTGATATGATTTAAATCAAATTCCTCCTCACTATAAATATCACAAATACACATCAAATAGTTTTCTGGTTTCAATTTTCTAATTTTCTCTACGTGTAATATATGCTTTGCACATGTGCGCGCTGAAAGAAATGTTTAACAACATAAACAAATAAATATTAAGCTTTTTTTGTTAATTTTGATACCCTTTCTTCTTTATTTCATAAATTACCTTTTCATATTTTCAATTTTATAATTTCTGCATGCCATCTTACCAGATTTAAAGTGATGATCTATAATCCGTAAAATCTGATAATCCGGAGTCACCGGTCCTGACGAGTCCGGATTAAAGACGTTTGACTGTATGTGTGCTTAAGTATATGTTTTAACTTATTTTGCATTATATATGTACAGGATAATTATTCGTCCATTCTCTAGTAGCTATGTTCACTTTCTTTTTTTTCCTCTTAAGAAATGGTAGTTTAACATCATAAACAGACATTCTTAAAATGTAAATAAACAGACTAAAAGTACTAACTGCAAGTCCAAAAACACTTGTACAACCATCAACTCGGTAAAACATTGCTTCCGGACCTCTAGAATGTACATGAAGCATGGCATTCAGACAAGCTAAGGACGCAGGTCCACTGGAAAATAAATATATGAATAAATAAAAATTCTGTGATATAACATTTCATTATTTAAAAATCAATATGTATGACAACTGAAAGCATAAAATTAGGCAAAGCAACAATCTTGTGTTTAGCATAGATTTTAGTCAAGACACTCTACATTTCGAAAGCAAACGAGTACAGCTCCCACTTCATCTTGAGATAAGAAAACTGCACAATATTATTGCTTCCCCTAATTTTATGTTTTACTTTAGTGTGTTTCTCTTCTGTCTTGATTTTTGCGACCATCTGCCATTTTCGAGAAAGTTCTTCCAGTTCGGTTCATTTTCCCACTGCATCATTTTATGTTTTGCTTTGTGATTCCATGTGGTTGCTGGATTCTCTCATTTTCAGAAGCTAGTGAGTTTACCTTTTTGTTTATATTTCTCATTAATCATTTTGTCATGTTTTCTTGTGCAAATTTCTTTGTTAATTTATTACTGCATCAATAATGTTGTTTTATTTTGTAGTGCATTTCTTTCTTACATTTTTTTTAATTATTATTTATTTTAACCTTTTTATTATTTTACCCATTTTGCACTTTCCCTATTTAATATACTTTTGAGTTTACAACTTTTTCTTGCTTGTTCCATTTCAAAATATGTCAACAGACAGGAACCAATTTAATGCTTTAAGCATATGAAATTCTTGAATTATCTCCATTTTTTGCTTAATTGCAAACATCATAATATCACTCACAAATTTACATAAGTCAAATACAATCTTAAATCTTCTAGTAATGTTTCAAAAATTATGCATAAATTCAAATAGTCACTTCTTCGTCACATTCTAAGATGCCACCATGCAAATGTTAGTCTAAAATTGTTTAAGAATTCTATTACCTTCATTTAAAAATTGTCAGTTCTACTTTAAATGTTTCCTTATTTGATCCTAAATCTTAGTTTAGAAACAAAACTGCCTGTCAATGCCATAAAAAGTTCTAGTTTTTAAATTCCAAAAGCTCCCACTCAGTGGGTTAGACCCACTCATCCTGTTAACTTTCCCACTGTTAATATCTCTAACATTAATATTAACCCCATTTTTAATATAATACTAATCCCATTGTTAACATCTCTAATCTTAATCTTTCACATGATCAGGTGAAAGCATTAAAATATAACTTCAGCTTTTCAAAGACATGTGCAAAACCTTCAGTTCTTCAAACATTTGCCTCTACTGAAGCAAATTTCTTTGCTCCTGATGAAGAAGGACCTGTGCCTGTTTATCTTCAAAATCAATCAAGTCTTGATTAAAGTCTGCACCAAGGTTCCTACTTTGTCTAGTTTTATGTTTTACTTTGGCATGTTTCTCTTCTCTCTCAAATAAAAACATTTTCATATACAGCAATCAGTTTCTCTTTAAATTAATTTTTTTTTAATCTCTAAAAAAAATTCTGAAATGACATAATACTATAAAAATAAAGTGTTGCATAATTTTTCCCTGTATTCTGTATAAAATTTTTGCAATAAAGCAAAGAATAAATAAATACAAAGAAAGGATTAAAGATTTTAATGTTGTTAAATTTGTTTAGTTGTCAGAATCGCTAAATTTGTACAAAATATAAATGAATCAAAAATTGGGAATTAAATATTCATAAAAAATTTGGTAGCTTTAAGTGCCATTGTTCTCCCACAGTGTGAGGAGCATATACACATACATGCATACATACATAGATTCTTCATTATTTATTTTTTTTAAATAATACATTGCGGTAAGATTTCCTAGCAACAATCTGAATAGTGATTTGGAGACAATACTGCTATAGACAAAGAGTTTGTTTCAAGACAAAAAACACTCCAGGTGCAAATAAATTCTATGTAATGTGTGTTGTATTTCTCCATGCACACACACACGTGTACACCAAATAAAAAAAATAAATGGGACAGTTCTACATTTCCCATTCCACTCAGCCGATCGACAAAATTGAATTTGATAGGTTCTTTAATAAGTGACAAGTCAATGATTTGATTCAGTGATATGTCCTTCTTCACGGAGGATGGTTGTCTACGTAGACCATCATCTTCAAGGCTGAAATTTCCATACTTCCCAAACCAGCTTCGAACTCTGCCATCAGAAACTGCACTCCATCCATACACAAAAAAATTCTATAATTAGTGTGAATAGCTTTTTTCACTTTCTTAAAATAAAAGAGCATGATATGACAAAATGGAATTCTAAGTTTCACCATTTTTAGCCATACCCTAAAACACAAATTATGCCACAACACTATCTAAAAATGCTCCAGTGAGAGCAGAAAAACTATATTTAAACAACTGCCTCGATCAAAGTCATTCTTTATCAGCAGTTACAAAACAATTAAAAGAGATGATGACACTTTGATTTGAAAAACTATGGAAGTTTCTGGATGACCCAATATATTATTTTAAAGGTACTAAAATTACTTCTAAATACGAAGAAATTTTTCAAGCAATTACCAATGATAACGCATTTCATAATTAATGTGGTTATTTAATATAAATATAAAAAAATAATTATGGTTGTCTTAGTACACAAATCGTCAAATTTATTTATTGCAAAAATCAAATGTTTAGTACAAAATAAAATATACTTAGTAGTTAAAAACTGATATTTTGAAGTACATGGGTAAAATTTTTAAAGTTTGTAACCACTGTATATTTGCTTGAGGTGGCTGCCACTCAACATGGCAGTTGTAATTTCACTTCTAGTGGAGCATTATTTTCTAAAAATGAAAAAAAAATTATTATTTTAAAAAAATAATGAAAAAAACATAAAGTGAAACCTATTAGTAGTTCAGTAATTCAGTCTTGTGGTAAACTGGAAACACTTTTCCAAGCACAAACCAACTCCAAATCACTACAACCAGAATCATTTTTCTATCTTTTTCCCATTTTTATCCTTTTTGAACAACAACAACTTTGCACTGTCTAGTAGGCTCACGTTTTGCAGAAGCAGGAAAAATATGGGATATAAAATGTCGTTCAGTAAGACGGGCAGGGTTATCTATTGTAGGTGGTCTGCTAACATTCTTTTGTCCAGAAGTTGCATCATCATATTTATCCAAAAGCTCTTCTACAACTTGGATTCGAAATTCTAAAAATGTAAGTTTTCGGTCAATACCTTGAAGAATTATTAGTCCCTTGCCTGATTTGCTTTCTTGCTCTGCATAGTTGTTCGTTTCTTTGACAATTATATCCATTAGATTTGAATCCGGAAACATTTCTAAAACATCTAAAGGAGTGTAGTTTATGTTTACAGGAAAAGTTACACCTGGAGTACCTGTAAAAGGGAACCGCGGGGTCCCTGATCGGCCAGAAGCAGTTACTTCACACCAGTCTCTCGCATTTCCTATATTGTCATCACCGCTATCCGTTGATTCACTGCTACTTTCAATGTCACTCTCCTCAGTTTCACCTGCATCACTAGTATCGCTGCCTTCAAAATCTTCATCTTCGTTTGAAGAATCTAAATCATCTATATAACGTTTCAAAGAACTGGACGCCATTTTACAACAAAAAAAAAAAAAAAAACCACACACTTTTAAACCAAATAACTTCTAACCTCTAATCTTTGAAATCTTCATCAAAGTACTGTCATCTATTGAATTGAGTGCACATTAACTTTTCCCGAGATACAGTCGGGCTTGACAAAGAGATGAAGCCGAAATAAACGTCTCCCGATATATATTCGGGTACAACAATACGATGCACTCAAAAAAAAATTACCCCGAGTATTACTTGGGGGTGACATTTTCGAACACCTGTGCTTATCTCGGGCATGACAGTTAAAAGGTTAAACAAAAGCTTATGTTTGTATAATCCTAATAAGTTTGTATGAACCTATAACTTTAAATATGAACATTCGTTATAGACAGAAAACTAAACATTTTCACTTGGTTTCCAAATTTTCCACCTTGACTTTAATTACAAACACCAACTGATTTTAAGAGAAATAAATCAAAAATAAGATATATTCATCTTTACAATAAGAGGAAACACTTTTGAAATTATTAGAATAGAATTGGGTATTTTTCTTTAAAATATGACAGATAAGAAACAGTGATCAAACTCTACATAGATATTGCAATTTACTATAGACAGCGTAATGTACCTGTTACACTGTAATATTAAATTCTACTGCAGTTACTTAAAATAAGCTAAATTTTTCTACAAGAATAATAAAATAATGAAAGCAAAAATTAAAATTTTTTTTAATTTATGAAATGCAAACTCATTCATCAAAAATTATTTGCTTCTTCCAATACAACTCTAACAACAGTCACAGTGTCATTAAGATTTGTAGTACACCTTGCTTGCACACACACCAAAAAGGGGGGGTAGGGACAATTCCATATCTTCCGTTCTGCAGTGCCAACTGGTGGAATTTAACTTGTGTTCTTCATGTCTCAAAAGTGCACCTTAGGATATACATTAGATTTATATACAACATTGTTCAGCATTTATATAGAATATAGGTATTCCGACACAAAATCTGACTTCTGAAATAACAGACCCCTTTTTTTTTTCGTGTTTCGATTCTACGACTCAAATTATGCCAAAGTGCCAAGTTTTGTAAAATCGCATGAGTAGTTTTTAAAAAATTAGCTCTCAAAATTTTAGCTCCTCAGTGTTAATTGAATTGGGTATATATTTATTAATCTCTTCTTTTATTAAACTTACTTAACCTTCTTTCACAACTCAAAATTTAGTTTTAATCCAAATAAAATTTGCAGGTATTTTCTAATTTATTTTTTAAATTGGTATTTTTTAGTAATTTTTATAAATTTTTTGAAAATTTTTTGGATTATAAGCTATAAAATGTTTACCAATCACCTTAAAATAGATGTATTATTAGGCATACCTGCAAAAAATTAATTTTTTATTCAGAATTTGCCAAGTATATATGAATTTCTTTCTATATTGGGACATTTTGAAATTATTTTGAAATTTGGCACATCGGTTTTAGCAATAATAACACCAAATATAGTTTATGCACTT